AAAAAGTAAGTCGTATACCAATCTCGAAGCTTTTTGTGAAGAGAACCGCCTGGTCGCTTGCCCACCTAGCAAAGCTAAGTGGGGTACCCTAAACCCTAACTCCTAAAGCCTAGACCCTTCAGCCAAAACCCCTAAGCCGTTAACTCTAATTCCTAAAGCCTAAACCATAAGCCCTAAGCCCTAAATTCTAATTCATAAAGCCTAACCCCTAAAGCCTAAACCCTAAGCCCCAAACACTAGTTCATAAAGCCTAACCCCTAAAGCCTAAACTCTAAGCCCTGAACCCTAATTCCTAAAGCGGAAAGCCCAAACCATAAACCCTAAGCCCCTAAACCCTAAGCCCTAAAGCCTACACCATACACCCTGGGTCCTACACCCTAATTCCTAAAGCCTCAACCCTAAAACATAATTCCTAAGCCCTAAACCCTAAGCCTTGAAGCCTGAAGCCTGAACCATAAATGCTGAGCCCTAAACCCTAATTCCTTAAGCCTAAATGCCGAAGCCATAAACCCTGAGCCCTAAAGCCTAAACCTTAAACCCTGAGCCTAAACCCTAAACCCTAAACCGCAATGGCACGCGTGACGACGCAGATGGCTTATTCCCGGCATGCTGTTGCATCCCGAGCAGATGCTAGCAAAACAGACTCCGGCCGGCTTATGTGTAGGGTTTAAGGGTTTAGGCGGTTTTTTAGGGTTTAGGGTGCTTTATGGTTACATACGGGTTATATTGGGAGAATGGAAAACAAAATGGAAACTACTATTTAGGGCTTAGGGCTTGGGCTTTAGAGTTTGAAGTTGAGGGTTTGGGGGTTAGGGTGTAGGCCCTTGAGCCTCCTACTTGGAGGGTTAGGGGGAGTTGGTAAGTAGGTTGGGTATAGGGATGAGGGTTTGGGGTGTAGGGTTTAGGGCTTAGGGTCAGGGGTTAGTAAGTAGGCTAAAAATGAATGCGGATAGCTGGTGGCACTATAGGGCTTATAGGGGATTTTAACCCACTGACTAAGACCTCCTGACCATCCAAGTAATTGACAGAACTTTTCCTTGAGTATTTCTTGTAAGGATATGAAACACATCGTAAACAACTCCGCGGACAGTTGCATAGCCTTCTACACACCCAGATATTAAGAAGTACCTCTGCAGAACACAGCAACATCCGATTTTTTCGCTAAAGCACAAACCCGTCAACACAACACCATTCTCACATGTTTCCCAAGGGCTGCAGTTACCTAAATTGTGGGTTCTGGATTCTTTGACCCCCTATGATCACAACACCTCAAACCCCAAACTTCAATTACATGGCCCAGTAGCCTACAATTTCGTTAACTGGGAGCGCAGGTTTCCCAAGTGACCCAGGAGCTTCAAACACCCAAAACCAAAAGCCTTATTTATATCCTGGGGATAAGGTGTCAGGGTTAAGGGCTTAGGGTCCCTAAACCCTGGGGACCCGCAAACATTCTAACCCCCCCCAAATCCCAAGCCCGAAATTCCCTAAATCCTATGGCCTAAATGCCCTAAATCCCAAAACCTTACAGCCCTGAACCCCTAAACCATTACCTGGAACCAGTTGAGCTCTAGTCTAAACTCCTAGTATCCCCCTTAATAACCCCTATAGCAGTCCCCTCTGTAATCCCCTATATAACCCCCCTTTAAGGAGTTTAGACTATGACTCAGTTGAGGACTGGCAAGCTGCAGTCCAGTCTTTGCAGCGCCTGAAGCCTGGCGTTGTGAACCGACAGCTGTGTCGGCAGGCCATTTTCTGGATCAATGTCAAGGATCCTTTATACTTTTTGGGGTATGGGATTCCTTATATTTATGTAAAAAGGATCCTTCTTTCTTCCTAGGGTAATGTGGGCTAAGTTTTAGGGTTATGTAGGGATACATGGGGGCTATATACAAGAGTAACATGGGGATTTAGGTTTTAGGGTTTAGGGTTTGGGGTTCGGGGTTGGGGTTTAGGGTCTAGGAATTTGGGATTTGGGGTTTGAGGACGTGGGCTTCAGGGTAAAGAATTAAAGGGTTTTGGGTCTAGGCTTCAGGCCTCCTATGGTTTAGAGATACATGTCTTGTGGTTTGTACAGCATCCTGAGTCCTTAAAGCCTAACCCTAAACCCCTAAACCTCAAACCCTAAGCCGTAAACCCTAGTTAACCCCTCAACCCTAAACCCTCAACCCTAAACCTTAAACCCTAAACCCTCAACCCTAAACCCTCAACCCTAAATCTTAAACCCTAAGCCCTCAACCCTAAACCCTAAATCATACTTATAGACCCCCTCTGTGGCCAGGTGATAACTTCGTGTAGGCGAGCGTCGCAATGGCAGGTTGCGCTCCAAGTGCTGGCAGATATCTTGGCAGCTGAGGTCGTCAGGGCAGGGTTTTGAGTTTAGGTTTTCAGGGTTTCAGGGTTTCAGGGTTTTAGGGTTTTAGGATTTTAGGGCTTAGAGTTTAGGGTTGAGGGTTGAGGGTTTAGGGCTTTAGGCTTTAGGGTTTTAGGCTTTGGGTTTAGGAGTTTGGGTTTTAGGGATCAAGGCTGCGGGTTTAGCGATGTAATCCTCTTGATGCAGGTAGAATACGGCCGGGTTGCTAAACTATAGGCTTTCCTATAACTCCATATCATGGGTATACCGTACCTTTGTGGGTCTCCTAACCTCGGTAACTTAATCAGAAACGTTCTAGGGACTTCAAAAGTAGATGCAAGAATGACACGAAATTCCTAAAAGAGGCCAAAGTCGGCTGGTATTCTACCCTACACCCTAAATCCTGTAAACCCTGAACCCTGTGAACCCTAAACCCTGTACACCCTAAATCCTAAACCCTGTAAGCCGTAAACCCTGTGACACTATCAACCCTAAACCCTGTAAACCCTGAACCCTGTGAACCCTAAACCCTAAAGCCCCTAAACCCTAAACTCGAGACTTTAGTGGGTGCAGGTAGGGTTTGGGATTTACAGGTGGAAAGGTACCTGAGGCGGTGCCGAGTTATCCCCTCGTTGTTGGTGAATCCTTATGGTAGGGTTTAGGGTTTAGGGTTAGGGTCCTATTGTTGGTGATAAATGCTGATGATAGGGTTACCCTAAACCCTACACCCCTAAGGTTAGGCCCGTATTGTTGGTAATGAGCTCTTTTGATGATAAAATCAAAGGAGCTGAGACTTGGGCCATTGCAAGGCAGATCTAGGAGACCTAGAAGTTAGGAGGGCCCGTCACCCCGTAATAGGGGCATAACAGGAAATGAGAGGGCCCTGATCTAATCTGTATTATTCCTTATAGTCAAGATTACGGTGATGGGTTCACCTAACCTAGAGGGTATAATGCCCTTCCAGGAGTTTAGACTATAGTTCGCATAAGACCTATTGCAAGGTGGTGCCTGATGTCTACAGCTTCAGCGCGGCTATTTCAGCTTGTGAGAAAGGCTTCCAATGGCTGCGTGCACTAAGCTTGTTCCTGGACCGCAAAAGTATGAAACTAATAGCCTTTTGGACATTTTTCAGTTTGGGGGCCACTATTTTACCTATGTTTGGGGCTTAGGTTGTCCTACATGGGATCTGTGAAGACAGCTCCGAACGACTTCAGCTTCAATGCTGCCATCAGCGCATGCGAGAAATGTGGTGAATGGCAAATGGCCTTGTACCTATTAGCTGAGATGCCAATAGCCAGAGTTTCGCCAGATGTGATCAGCTTCAATGCTGGTATAAGCGCATGCGAAAAAGGAGGTGAATGGCAGATGGCCCTGCGCTTGCTTTCAGAAATGCCAGCAATGACAGTTGTGCCTGACGTGATCAGCTTCAATTCGTTCATCAGTGCATGTGAGAAATCTGGCGAGTGGCAGATGGTTGTACACTTACTGTCTCAAATGCCCACAGCTAGAATTGTGCCCGACCTACTGAGCTTCAGTGGCAGTATCAGCGCGTGCGAGAAAGGGGGCGAGTGGCAGATGGCCCTATCCTTGTTGTGGCAGATGCCGCTAGTCAGAGTCTCTGCAGATGTGATTTGCCTCAATGCCGGCATCAGCGCATGTGAGAAGGGTGGCGAATGGCAGATGGCCATTTCCTTATTGTCCAAGATAAAGACGGTCAAGCTTGCACCAGACTTGATTAGCTTCAGCTCCTGCATCAGCGCGTGTGAGAAAGGTCGGCAGTGGCCGATGGCCCTGTACTTGCTGTCTGAGATGCATTCAGCTGATGTTGCGCCAGAGCGTTACAGCTTCAACGCTGCAATCAGCGCATGTGAGAAAGGCGGCGAGTGGCAGAGGGGCGTGTACTTGCTGGCTCACATGCCTACAGCCAGAATTGCCCCAGACGTGATCAGCTTTAACGCCGGCATTAGCGCATGTGAGAAAGGTGGCGAATGGCAGATGGCCTTGTGCTTGTTGTCGCAGATGCCTACAGCCAGAATTGCGCCAGACCTGATCAGCTTAAATGCCGGCATCAGTGCTTGTGAGAAGGGAGGCGAGTGGCAAATGGCTCTGCACCTCTTGTCGCAGATGCCGCTAGCAAAAGCCGTACCTGACCTAATCAGCTTCAGTGCTGGCATCAGCGCGTGTGAGAAAGCGGCCGAGTGGCGAATGGCAGTATATCTATTGTCTCAGATGCCGAGACAGAGAGTTACCCCAGAGACAATTAGCTTTAATGCTGCCATCAGCTCATGTGAGAAAGGCGGCGAGTGGCGAATGGCCGTGTACTTGTTGTGTCAAATGCCGGAGGCTAGAGTTGTGCAAGATGTTATCAGCTTTTGCGCCTCCATCAGCGCCTGCGAGAAATTTGCTGAGTGGCAAACGGCCCTATACTTCTTGGCTCAAATGCCCGAAGCCAGAGTTTCCCCTGACGTCATCAGCTACAGTGCTGGTATAAGCGCTTGTGAGAAAAGTTTGCGTTGGCCGATGGCCCTTTGCTTCTAGGAACCCCAGTGGTACC